TAAGATTAGAAAATTTTTGGAAATGTTCGATTTTTCAGGTAGTTGGAATGAAGCTAATATTAATAGGTTGGTAACTGATGTTAGTAATCCATATGAATATCAAAACCTTTTTGATCCTATGGATGGAAGTTATTTATCATTTAGTCAGAAGAGAGAAATCTTGCCTAATAGGACATATAAACGATTTTTCACATTTAGAATTCCTTCAAATTTATTGGATTCAGAATGCAATGAACATAGTTNTAATGAACATAGTTTATCCAAACATACTGAGTTACCACCTACAATGGGTCTTTCAAGATGGGAAATTGCACACTACCCAGAAAGAGAATTACAGAAGATTAAGGATTTTTCAATATTGGATACATCTATAAGTTATGGTGTAATGGCAAGATTCATTGGTCGTAAATCTACATGGGAAGATGATTTCGGTAAGATCAATACCACTCATTATTCTATCGACAAGAGATTGATTAATTCCAAAGGGGATGAATATATCATTTTGAAAGAATTGACGAATCATTTCCGCGTGGTACAAAGAACTACTACTTCAACTGATAATGAAAGATTAATGAAATTAACTGAAAATAAACTAATGTATAATAACTTATTAACAAGAATTAAAGAAAAGATTACTGTCGGTAATAAATTAATCGAATCAATTGAATCAAATAAATTAGATGATACTATCGGACTAAGTGAACAAATGACAAGTGTTGAATTAGAATTAGCTAAACTTAAACAATCATATAGACCAGGTGCTAGAGATGTCAAGCATGGTCTCCACAAGACTCAAGAATTATATGAAGTCTTTTATCCATTAGTCAAAAAATCATTAACTGGTAGTTCCAAGGATTTGGGTACTTTGAAATTATCAACCCCAAAACAAGAATATTGTGTAAGTTATATTCCTCCCCAACGTTTTAGGGAATCTCCCATCGATTTATTGTTACCAAGTTGGAAACAATCAATACCAATAGAATTACAAATTACACCATCGACACAAATCCAAACAATGACATCCAGTGCATTGAAGGCACCACCTCAAATCAAGAATGTTTCCGTTGAATTGGTAGCATTGACACTTCGTTCACCAAAGTTACCTATTCCAATTGAATTCAATCATGATTTAATCTATAATAAAAAAGTAGATAATAAGAAATGTTATATTGATGAAGATACTTTTTCCAATAATATTATCACCCCATTCAAGAAATATTCAACCGAATTATATAATGTTGCTAAAAAATTAGGTTATAATAATTTCAAACTTGAAAAACTGTTGATTGAAGATATAAAATCTATTTGTCAACTAGAGGAAAAGTTAATTAATCTAGAAGTGCAAAAGATGACTATTAACAATAAGCCATTCTCTTCAAAATCAATTGAATGGGAACAAAATTCCCAAGGTGGGTTCACGAGTAAATTTAATATTGATGTTGATTTAGAATCGTTGATATTGAAAGGTGTTAAGAGTACAACGGATATTAAGTCATATGATCGTTTTAATTTGGTACCTGATTTCCAGAGTTGTTTTATGAGTAGATTGTATCACATGAAAGTGTCAATTGCTTTGAGTAATAGTGAAATCATTAGAATAAAGGTCCCAGTTAGAATTCAAAAGATTATTGATTAGAATTTTTTTATATAGAAACTTAATTACATAATTACATACTTCCTTATTTTTTGAATAGAAATTTAATTAGTTTAGATTACTAGATGGCAAACATGGGTAAACTTAAAAGAAGGTTTCCCAGTCTCTTTGGAAATACAAGTCCGACCTCAAGATAAGTCTGTTCTACAGATCCGAATGGTCCTTGACCTTACCTCGATAACAATAGAAGAGGGGTAATTGCAACTTGGCAGATCTGGATATGGTTGCAATCTACACACAACACGGAGCCCTTGCCCATAGAAATTCAAGACGGAACTCTCCTTGAACGAAATATATCGGCCGAAAAGACACGATGCCATTGTTGATAAATCTTTGTTGGTTCTTTCCCGACTTTCGAAGTCTCCCATATTTTCTCCATTCAGAGAGAATAACCACTCATGATTTTATCTGATCGAACACAAAAGAGGAAATTAGTTAATTCCTTCTTTTCGGTTGAGCATCAAGGGAAGCTTGCCGAAATAGTACAGGTTGAAAGAGTCTGGGATTCAGCATGGTCCACGTTTGGTTATGAAAAGTGGATACTTTTCCCACAATAAATGGAGATGAATTCTAACTACGGCGATGTTGCAAAATGTAAAGCCCCAACAAAATTGTCGACGAAAACAAGGTGACAATGATATGGAAACCGAATGCAAAAACCCCACTTAAAGATTGGATTTACCAGCGGTTGATCACGAAATTTGGTTCAAAATGGACGAAAGGGGATAGGTTGATAGAAACAACAAGTCAATTGGATGGAATAGCATCTGACGTATAAGTACCATGTGTTAATCGAGTTTAAATCAACATTTGAAGCTAAAAGAATGGATGAAAAAGTAACTAAAAATTGAAAAGTGAAGAAAAAAGTCAAAAGTTGTACAAGTTGACAGAAACAACAAGGCAATTGGATGTAATAACATCGAAAGTATACATACCATGGATTAATAGAGTCTATAGCAGCATATGATCTAAAAAATAGATGAAAAACTTAGTAAAAAGTTCAAAGATTGATAAAATATTAAGCTAAGGGCCAAAATCATAATACGAACTAACCAAGTTGATGAAACAGAGTCTGATGTAGAGTATGTTGTCTTAACGGGGACATGTCGATGGATAAAAAGCTCCAAAAGACAAATCGGTAGTGATTTAGAATAAATTAGAAGGAAAAGGAAAGAAGAAAAAATGGGATTTGCAGTTTGAAAGAAATTTTTTTGAGATTTGTTTGTTTTGATTTTGGGATATCGTTCGTGAGCTATATGGTAAGGCGAACACCATGTAGCTTATATGCGAAGGTTAACACCATATAGCTCAACAGAGTTTTCTTCCAAAGTTTTGATTACATTGTTCCGTGCAATCAAAAAGGTGTAACCCGGCTTCTGGAAGCAAAAAAATAATTCTTTAAATTCGACTGGTTTGACAAAAGAAATAAATTGAAAAATATTAAAAATATAATCAAGAACAATAAAAGGTGTTTAAAAAATAATCAAGAACAATAAGTTGTTGATGAAAAACCCTCCACCAAATTATTGTCATGATTAACGCCTCGTCTCCTACATTTCCATCTTCCATTTATTTATCTATTACGTATAAATATATAATAAGATAACCTCTCCCCTTTTTCATTCAACGAGATAGTCTTTTTTCTAATTTTTTTTTGCAGCATTAAATTTGCTTTGTTGACTCAAATGTCCACTCAAGTCCCCCATTATACTGAGAAGCCATCATCCAGTAATGGCCACACCCATCATTCTATCGATGACACTATCGGCAGTATATTACCATCGTATTCTATGTTTACGAATACAATTAGGATGAATGCAACCGTACCTGAAAATGATGAAGATAATAATATTACTCCTCCAAATTATACCATAATATCAACACAAATGTTTGATCAATCATCCTCTATCTCATCAAACACCTCTCAGATACAACAACTTTCGCTTACTGGTTCTACATCTACGAGAGCTACCAATGAAGATAGTGATTTTGAAAATGCTCCATTTATTATAGCTGATGAAAATACTGGTACTTGGCAAGAAACGATTTTAGACAATGTTCATAGATTGCCAAATTTAACATTTGAATCTCATAAGATTAGTGAAGCTGTTAAGTTAGCAATTAGTTTTACAAAAGATATTTGTGAAATTGGTAAAGTACCTGAACTTATTGATCCTTCTGTATTCGAATATAAACAAGGTGATTTATTGAATGGTTATATTACTATTAAAAATACTTCAGAAAGACCAATTCCATTTGAAATGTTTTATTTATTATTTGAAGGTAATTTTATGATTGCAAATCCAAATGATCGTAAATCAAGAGTTCCAGTTAAGAT